TGTGCTTATGTGGGCACATGTGAGGCATCATTTTGCACTGACACTGCAATTGTGGGGTTGTACCCATAAATCAGGCTGGGTTTATATCTTTAGGTCCTGGAGAAGTGACATTGCCACTTCAACAAACGCTGAATTTGGTGACCTGACTGAGATCAGATCCAAAATGTGCTGGGTAATGATTTGCATTTTGTTGAATATTTTTTCATATTCACAAGCCACAGTAACAGCACCAACTGAGCACAGCTGGTGGCACTTTGGGGACAAAAAAAAAAAAAAGACCCGTGTCCCTTAGGTGAGGACTGAGCTGTTGGCAGAGCTCCATCAAGGACAGCTCTGACCCAGAGCAGGTCATTTCCTTTTGAGAAGTGATTAGCATGGAAAAGGGCAAAAAGGTTCGTGTTTAGAAACCAGCAAGGTCAGTAGGTGAGAGTGTTCCTCCCCCAGGAGCTCTGTGGTCAGTCCCTCTCCTTGCTGTTGATGTTCTGAGGGACTTTGGAAATCATTTTCCCTGGTTTCACGGGGTACTAGCCTAACCTGGAAAGGTGCAGACTTTGGAAAGGGAACACAGAAATGCAGTAAAAAGGAGTAAAACTCAAATATGACAGTGGAGACTTTTATATCTGCCACCGGCTTGTGCTGAGCAAGGGCAGTAAGATATAATGACAATTTCTGATATATTAAATACCTTTCTGTGCATCAGTATCCACGTGGCTTATAACCATTGGTGCCTTAGGGCTCACCCGCACCAGCTGGAGTCACTGCTCCCCTAAATCCCAGAAAATCTGACAAAGCTGGCCAAAATTAGATCCCAGAAACCTCTTAAAGAATGTAACATGTCTGAAGGCTAGGCCTCTGTTCCACTGTGTATAAAACCTCCATAAAACACCTCTGAGCCCTCTGCCCAGGGCATCTTTGGGGGTTTTCTGGGACAGTTCATTTTCTCAGCAGTCCTGGGGCACTGTGACCCACAGCACACTGCYACTTACTCTCTTTCCCAAGTTAAAAACTAGAGCTAATTGATCAAATATCTTTCTTTTCCCCAGTGGCTTTTCTTAATTCCAAACAGATTTCTGAAGAGCCATAACCAGGATAAAACCCACTGTGTGCGCGAGATTGTTTCTAACGCTGGAAACAGATCCCTGGTGCTTCCTCTTGGCAGGAAGATCATCCTCCTGGAAGAGCCCAGAAATGTAAAAGCCTCTCTCACTCATCCCAGATTTGGCTTGTACCCCTCTTCTCCATGCAGAACCCCCTTGTGGAGTGTTTTCCTGCTCCAGGAGGTCCCATCTCTGTTCACAGGATGCTCTTTATGTCAACATATTTTATCTTACTTTATTTTTTATTTTCTTATCCTGCCGTTGGGATATGATGAGGCTTCACCAGGTCCTGCTTTCCACAGGGTGGGAGCTGGAAGGGCTGGAGAAGCAGAGCAGAGGAGCCGGGACTTGAGAGCACCGACCTTAAACAAAGGGAGCCCCGGGAGGAGAAGGCTCAGCAGCCACTTGTGTCAGTGTTTTTGGCCTCTGCCTCGCCGGCCTTGGCTCCCCAGGGAGGGCAGGGCTGCCTGCTGCTCACAGCCAGCATTTTGCAACCTTCGCTTGTGCTTTTGGAGGCAGCGCTGGGCTGGATGGCTGCAAACATCCCTCTCGCTAATTATGGATGGGTGAGAGATTTGGGAGTGCAGCTCATAAACGGTAATGAGATGTTTAAAGCATAAATCAACAGCGTACCGAGGTGAGACCCAGTTCCCCTCAGCTATGCTCCCAAAACCCCAGGTTATTATTTACCTGCTGGCAGCGCCCTACCTGCCGGGGGGCTGCGATTACACCGCATCTCCCGCCCGCAATTTGGGGGCAATTATACAGAATATCCCATTTCCCGCAGTAAATAAATAAATAGCGATCCGTGTTTTGCCTTGATGTAACTCCACCTCCTCTAACACGCTGCATTGTCCATTGATTTGCCTAATTATGTGTATTACAAGCACACGAGGCGCTGGGTAGCAGCAGGGGTCGGTGCTGGGGAGGGGAGGGGAAGGGAAGGGAGGGGAGGGGAGGGGAGGGGAGGAGGGCGATCGCTCCATCTGTTCCTCCGAACCGCCGGGAGAAGCGTCGGGAGCGGATGGGAGATGCAGGGGAGGAATTACCATTTAGTGCAGGTGCCTCTGGAAGGAGAATCCCATTGCCAGGTGCTGGCAGGCGGCTCTCCTGAGCTCCACGTGTTTAATTACCCTGCAGCGAGCCTTCCCAGCTCGAATTAGAGCCTTCCCAGCTCGAATTAGAGCCTTCCCAGCTCGAATTAGAGCCTTCCCAGCTCGAATTAGAGCCTTCCCAGCTCGAATTAGAGCCGGCAATTGCTGCCGAAGCCTTGAAACGAAACGGGGAGAGCGTGGCAGCGCTTCATCCATCTCGCTGCAGAGTCCTGCGCTTCCCACCCAGCCAGATTCACGCCCCGTTCAGCCGAATTTAAAAGCGCTTGTCTGGAATTAG